AACCCGGAGAGAACCCACGCTGCACAGGGAGAACATGCAAACTCCACACAGAAAGATCCCGGGTGTTCTCACTGGGACGCAAACCAGCGACCTTCTTGCTACAAGGCAACGGTGCTAGCCACTGCTCCACCTTGCAGCTCATTCCTGTACTTTGTTAAGCTTATTATATTAAGAAGATATATATATATATATAAGATACAAAATACACTTCGTCATTAAGCTTCACAGTAAACGCTATTCAGCACTTGAGGGGTCATAACCCATTCATTTTTCTGGACGGCTTCCACTGTGAAAACTTCCTCAGGTGTTCAGTTTCATCATCTGTAACTTGTGACTGTAACACTAAGAGAGAAAATAATAGAAATTAATCAGTGATTCAGTAATTTCCTTTTATGTTAATAAGAGACACTCACAGCAACAGAGTAATTAATTTAGAATATAGTATAGATTGTAGTAGAGGGCATATCCCCCATCAAAGCCAACAGCAAGTCCCGAGATATAGAGTGTAAAAAATTATACTGCCAAGTAGGATTGCTAATGGCTCACAAGAGATAAATACTCTACACTCTGTCTTCCTCTTTGTTGCTCTCTCACTTACACTGCATTACAAAAATACTGCACTAGTGGCACATCTAAAACCATCCCATTTAAGTCACAACACTGCGTTTGCTATTGTTCTTAGGACATTATTTTCAAAAGTATTTATCCTTCAAAAATCCTGGAAATAGTTTGTGTTTATTTCCATTCCTGTGCTCTGATAGAGAGCTAAGATTTCATCAGAAACTAAAGAGTTACTGGGTTGAAAAGAGGATCTTTCTTCTGCGAGTCAAAAGAGAAAGACAGTTATGTCTGAGAACACGTACAGTCAGTCTAAAAACTTCTCCCCTGCACATATTGATTTTACACTCTTATCTAAAGCTGAAGTTTGTGTTTTTTTGGAAGTTGTTTGATTGTACCGAAAATGAGCTGCCAGCTTTACCTTTTTTTCACCCGATTGTGTGGCATGATGCTTATTTACATTCAACCCACGAAAAACTGATGTCTGCCAGAGATCCCCAAAAGATACTCGACTAAGAAAGCAATGGCTGGAACTAAGGTTCCTGTAATGAGCTTTAATTTACTTTTGTAAGTCTATTCTGAAGACACCCAGGTAGTCTGAGAGTTAACTGTCAAACTGAGAGAAGTTCGGCCTGAAAACTTTTCCAGTGTTTTTAATCAGTGTTTGATTCAGCTGTGTTTGTTTGAAGATTCAGCTGGTGTCATGGTGAGAGCGCAGGGTGCATCATGAAACAGACTGAGCTGCAAAACCTTTCCTCGGCTGTGACGATTGTGAATGCTGGTCATGCCGCAGGGTTTGAATTGGTGGTGCAAATCAGGGTGTCTGAAATGCGCATGTTATATGTCATATTCATTTGCTACCAGTCAAATCTTTATTCCCTCAGTAAAAACCACTACCATGGCTACAGAGCGAAAGCTGGTGTTCAGATGCATTCTAATGATGGTTCATAAACATGGACTGTGAGTAAAAGATGGACTTAGCCTGCAGCTCTGAAAAGTGAAGCCAGCGCAGAAGTTTCTTAAACCTGTATTCTTTTTAATTGCCATTAGGGGGCGACTTCTCTGGTTTCAAAAACAAATCTGATTGATTAGAAATGTGTGACAAGATTATCTGATTTCTCTCTTGATTTTTTCGTGAAGTAACCATTTTCCTGAATAATTGATGGTGTCCATGGCTAGTTTCCCATCTCCTTCAATACAGCACAGAGTTCACTTTGTAAATTATGGTCCCATGTGTAAACTGGGCAATTAAGCAGGGTCCGTTTTTAGGCAGCGCTTCCTTAATACTGACAGATTGCGACTGTACTGCCATGTGTAGTGTCCTTCAGTTCCCAGTCAGATCTACCTCTCACTTGTTATGTCTGGTTTCAGAAGAACAAGATGGCAACGGCCAAATTCTCAAGGCTACAGAAGGACAATCCACAAACCAGCGGATGATGTCACGGTCGCTGCATCCATCTTTTGTATACAGTAATTCATAGCAGCTGCCGATTTCATAATCTAATCCAAGGATCTATAAATGCAATTATTGGGTTTCAGCATTAAACAAAATAGTTTTTCTAAGTCTTCATGATGCTAATCTCGTTAATAATGATGATATGATACAATTATTCATCAAAGCTCAGCGTTTAACATATTCTATTCACTATCTGTGCAGCAGTTTGCAAGCAGACAAAATATTACATGAAACACTGAATGTTTCTACTGAACATTTTCTGTCACGTTATCTCAGTAACTCAGTGATGTCTTCGTCTCAGAGAAGAATCACTCTCATAAATGACTGATTTGAACTGTGTGAAGACTCAAGGACTGAAGTGGACGAACACCTTAATCCAATCTGCCACTTACATGGGTGTGCTGACTCACTCCCCTACTGAGAGATTATCCAGAGTTTTTCAGTGCCCTAAGCTGTTGTGTCCTACCAGCGGGAAATAAAATTTCCTTTGGAGGTACACACTGTCGTGTTGGGAAAGTCAATGGTAGGGAGGGACAGACACAGTGAGTAAGCTGTGAGTAGAAAAATGACATGTCTCATTAGGTGGTTTAATGGCAGTTTTATACAACTGATACACCGCAGGGTGCAATACAGCGCTGCAAGGAAAGAGTGGTTGTTCAGGTAGTGGAGCGGTTTGGTGTAAGTCCCTCATGTCCACATGCTGAAGCGTCCTGTAGCAAATACTTCACCACAATTTACTTCTGTTGTCTGTACAGTGGGCTGCAAGGTGGATCGGTGGTTAGCATTGTTGCCTCGCAGCAAGAAGGTCGCTGTTTCGCTTCCCAGTGAGGACACCTGGGATCTTTCTGCATGGAATTTGCATGTTCTCCCCATGCAGCGTGCGTTCTCTCTGGGTTCTCCGGCTTCCTCCCACAAGGTCCAAAAACATGTTGAGGTTAATTGGTGATTCTAAATTGTCCGTAGATGTGAATGTGAGTGTGCTTGGTTGTCTGTCTCTAAGTGTAGCCCTGTGATAGACTGGTGACCTGTCCAGGGTGTCCCCTGCCTTCACCCTGAGACTCCAGCCCCCCACGACCCTAGTGAGGATTAAATGGTGTATAGATGATGGATGGATGTCTGTACAGTATATCAGGAAAATTGTAAGTTTCTTTGGATATTAACAAAAAGAGTTTAATATGAAAAGTGAGGATAAAGTCTTAAAATATATATGTAAATGTCCCACGATGATGGATTCATAAGAGGTGATTCTGCAGTCTGTTAGGCATTTATTGTACATCGCTCCATATCTGGAAGAGAAAAAGATCCCTGAAAAGGCGAAATTCGTTTTCAGATTCATCACACTGCATTTATTTACTGGCTTTATTTTACGTTTTGCACAATTTTAAAGACAAATGTGATGAAATTATGTGCAATAATGCACACTGAGTATGACAAGATGTTTACACTGGATGCATTTTTGCATCATCCATCATAAAGGAACTGGTGCAGTTTCATTTTAACCATGTCGGCTCTCCACACAGGCTGCATAGCTCCTCGTGCTTTATGTGCAGAAGTCTAATCCATATTTGTTTTTCATGTGGTCTATGATTTTGTACTGAGCTGTGAGTTTTGTCAAACGCCTCATAGTGTACATCAGTACTCTGACTGAACGAACACAGCGTAGACACTCTTGGAGGATTGATAGCCGCTGCTGTTTTGCTAGTTCTGTTGTGAAGTTGGTGTTCCGCGTTGAAGGTTTGCGTCTTTTTAACCTCGTTGAACTGTCAGGCAGTGTTTAAATCTCTTGGTTGGCAAGGAGGGATACATGTTCCTCAGTACTCTATCACAGTAGCTCAATAATAATGCCAAAATACTGCTAGAGTGTAAATGAATGTTTTAAAATTGTATTACGATGTATTGTTTTATAAAATATTTGTCTTTTAATATTAAAACTCATACTCTGAGAATTGGAGTTACAAGGTTAGAGAGACGAGTGGAAGAGGAGACGAGGAATGGAAGACGGGATGGTGGAAGTGTGAAAGAATGAAACAGATGGGACGGATTGATTTGCACGCAGACTCTTCAAAGAACAAAGATTCCACCCACGTCGTGGTTGATAGTATTTGGAAGACTGCAGAAGTATGATTTGTTTATTCTGTTTTCTTCATTATTCGCTCTTCATTAAGCCTCAAACACCGAGTACCAGTCAGTTATTGTGCAACACATGAGATATTCAATAATGAGTAATTTTACGCTTGTGTCTTCTAGTCAAAGCGCTGTCAATTTAGTTTTCGTAAAGCACAAAACTGCCTTAAAAATAAGCTTTGAACTATTGATTCCTTCCTTTGCTTTTGGGTACGCTTTGAATTATTTGGTAGACAGCAGCACAGCAGTCAGACTAGCTGCATATTTTGGGGCTGTATCGAGAAGTGTTTTTGTTGGGTTTCAAAGCGGGCTGTATTATCATTCGTAATTGGGTGATATTTTTCCGAAAGCCTGTTCCTCTTTCTGTGTCGTGATGTATGGAATAAGGACATCTTCCTACTGTTCTGCTGTTGGAGTGTGAGAATCATGTAAAGCTGTATCATAAAAAAAAAAACTGGCAATGCAGTCTAAATTGTTATGGTTAATAATGCAATGAATGGAAATTGAATATGAATAAATACAATATGTGTAATGCTAATCTACAAATGTATAATGCAGTTTTTAAAACTCTGAATAATTGCAGTAGTATAGCATATTATAACATGCCAAGGCTGCAAACATCTCTGTGTTCTTTTGTGTCTCTGTGTGTGTTTTCACTTTTCTTTGTGTGTGCCTGAATTTATACAGAGTTCCATGTATCTGCCCCCTGGTATTTCTCTCTGCAGCTGGTCTCGCTCAACAAAAACACTCTCTCCAGCGTTGAAATGCTAAAATGACTCTAATGCACTCCTAATATGTCTATAATGTTATGTAATGCCTCACAATTAAACTGAATGTTACCTGTAATTTTTGCACTTCTCAGGATATCCTTAACAACCTGGACCCTCCGGGAACTGGAGAGTTGGATGATGACGACCTCATGCTGGATGTGGACCTCCCAGAAGATGGCTTGCACGGTCAGCACCCACATATACACACAGTTTTTAATTTAATTGCAGTTATCTGACACATGATTTAAATCTGTGAGGTTATTCTGTGGCCATGAAAGTGCTCCAGTTTCATTGGCTGAATTTTTCCCCCATTATTTTTTGTATAAATGGATACCTCCAGCAAAGCTGTTCTGATCATAATTGTAAATTAATGCATTACCAAGGTCTGAGCTCTCTCTTTCCAGCGGTATCCTTCTATGGCATATGATGGCTTGAATAAATTGAATCCTGCCTTGCCTTGGGTGAAGATTCGCCTCTGAAACATCCATTAAAATCTTTTGATGGATACCTTGTTGTCTATTATGTGCTGTTTTAATATTTGGTTGCTGAAGAGTTATTAAATTACAATTCCATGGCTGCCACACAACCAGCTTTGAATTAAAGCTATTCAGCTAACTTGAAGTAGTACTCAGCCAGCTGCCTGGTTTTGTTTGAATGAGCAGATGCAGACAAACGTTGGCACGGTAAGGACCCAGCCACACTGAATATACAGACTTATTAGGGGAAGGCTGTATATTTGTTTACCTTGACAACAGCGGGGTGATGTTAGCACAATTAGTCTGAAAGCTTAATATTCAGACGTTACATCACCCACTTCTATCTTGAAATTATATCTGTTCAAGTCTGAGGAGTTTTCGCCGTCACCCATTTTCTCTTTGCAAATGTGATCGTGTAGAAATGTAATTAAAAATTGAATAAAATAGCGTCTGTGTCGGTGTTAAAGGTAATCATCGCTATGTGGTAGCGGTGTTGCTGACATTATTATGGATTATTCAGCCGGTGTTTAGCACATATATGAGAGGAGCAGTGGAGAGGTAAAGAGGGCTTGAAGAATGACCTCGTCTGTCATGAAATGTAATGAATTCTGGGAAGTGAATTTTCCCTTGTCAGTTTTGAAGCCAACCCTATCAAAGTACCATTCCTGGGTAATGGGTTTAATGCACTATATTTTTTTTGTGGAATGACACAGGCAGGCTTAGTAAGTTCAAACAAGGGTACCTCCAGCGCCATAAAATGCAGTGTGTTTATATATGAGCACATACAAGCTTATGGATGGGGATCGGCACACACGCTGGTGCACATGTAGACACAGTTGCCAGTTTATTTGATACATAGAAGTATTTCTAATGCAACAACATCACCGTTTGAAATCTACCTCTATGAAAGCCATAGTCTTGAAATTGTTTTACCCTGAGAGGGGCTTCCAGAATTTGTCACCTTGTTGATTAGACCAGTAGATAATTTCAGGGTGTCGCCACGTCATTGTAAAAATCAATCAATCAATGAATCAATCAATGAATCAATCAATCAATGAATCAATCAATCAATGAATCAATCAATCAGTCAATCAAACAATCAATCAATCAATCAATCAGTCAAGCCCACATTTATCAAATACATTTGTATTAGGGCTGTCAAAATTAAAAGTGTATACTTTTTCCCACTCCTTTTTTGAGCTTGTTAATGTCATGATTTGATTATGCGATATTCTTATTCTTTTTTGCACTTATTTTCTTTTGTTTTTATATTTTTTTCCCTTTCATTTGTTTGATATAAATTCAATTCATTCATTCATTTGAAAGAAAATGAATATGTTCATGGAAAGAGATTAATCTGTGGAATTAACACATTAACTTTTAATGCATTAATGCATAAACAACAAAGTTTTTACTCGTGCCATATTAAAAATTCAAATTGGGGGGTCACAAACACAAACCTATCTTGGGGGTTGTGGCTCTAAAAGTTTGAGAACCACTGGATTAGACTACAGGCCCACAAAATCCCCATAGAAGCTCTCTAAAACAGGTCCAGCAGAAATTCTAAACTTCATGAAGACAGGATTTATCCCAGAGCTGTTATATGAGACAGCCTCAGTTTCAGCTAAGAGTGCCTAATAACCTTACAACTGGATATACGTTGTCTGTAAACACTGACCCTCTTGTTTTTTAAAGAGGGAGACCGAGACAGACAGGGAGAGGAATGTTCACTCTAGAGGAATGTGAATTGGAACGTCGTCCCTTCCTACTCCTTTTTCGGAAAGCCGCCATATTTATAGCTCCCTATGTCAGGGATAGAGCTAATGTCACGAGAGGCAGAGTGAAAGCAGCGCAGGCTGAAGAGTCTTGTTAGACCCGGCCCACGGGGCAGGCCCTGAGATGTGGGATAGGGAAGGGTGTCTCTGTTAAAGACACCCCGACTCTGCCACAAAGCAGGAAGAGAAGAGGACTGGAAAAGAGGAGGCTAGAAGAGGACTCATGTAGCATTTTCATACAGCTGTCAGGGCCCTCGACGGGAAAGAGGCCCCAGCTTTCCCCTGTTGCCGGTCTCAGCTGGTGACTTCCTAGCTTGGACACAAACCAGTCACTTCAGCTGCTCTCTCTCACCACTACCACCACAGTCTTTTCTCCCCAGCTCCAGTTCCTAGGGAGTTCCCAGAAAAACAAGTCTGTCAACAAGAACAGGGCCAGGCAGGGTGGGAGCTGGGTTGACTTTCTCTCTGGCCCTTTAACAGCTCACCAGCTGACTGGACAAGGAGTCATTTCTCTCCACTCGTCGTCTTGAGTTTCTCTACCTTTATGGATTTTATTTTTTTTCTCCTTCCAGTTGGAATATATTCAGATAGCATTACTTTTTAGAGGACATTCTCTGAGCTGAAACGGAGTCACTGGGAGCACTTAAGTTCCCTGGAATGTAACAGTTCATTATGAAGCAGACTGTCTGCTCCTGTGCTGTGCGGTGACACTCTAGGTAAAGTATTTCAACCGCCACTGCTGAATTCCTCGGATTGGCTCTTTCAATCTTCCAATATTCTTTATCTCTATTTTTCTTTATCTCATTTTGTCACTTTTTTCTTTCAGTCCAAAGAGTATCTGGCATATAGAAAGTCGAGGGTCCTTTTGATTTCCTAAGGGTCGCGCTCTGTTAGTTGTCAATTTTGTTGCAGTCATGGTTCATTTCACAGCTATATGCTATTGAGTGTTTCCAAATGCTGTGTCCTTTTACCTACTTGAAAATGAAATGGCCTGTCACTGTGTATGTGTGCGAGCAAGTGTTTGCATTTGATAGCGGAGACAGCTGAGAGAATTTGAGAATGAGATGGATCAGATCAGGATTTTTTTTTTTTATGCCGAAATTCTGTTTTTGAAATATGCACCGTATTATTCATTGTCACAAGGTATTCATATTTATGCACTGAGTGTGTCTGTGTGGACTTGTATTCCTCATGTTGGGGGAACATTAATCTGTTCACACAGTCACTTCTTGGGGACCTGCCTTCCTTTTGGGGGCAATAAGCAAGACCCCATAACATAAATCAGTACATTTTTAGGTATGAAGACTTGATTTTATGGGCAGGGTAAGGTTAGGTCTGGGTACTGTAAGGATTAGGATTAGGCAAGTAGCAGGAAGGCTCAGAGTTATGGTAAGTCTCCAGGAAGTAAGTGTAAGCCAGTGTCCTCACTAGGGGTCGACTGACTGTCGGCCTGGCCCCTTATCGGATCCCATATTCTATGTTTTTACAAGTATTGGTATTGTTATTGTTTTAAACCAATTCCAGACTAATTAAAATGCAGCTACCTCTTTTTATCTACTGGTCAAGCAATGTCCCACCCACAGTGCTGTCTGATTGGTTTCAGGTCACAAGTGATTACAAATTAAGACTGTTGGGATAAATGCTTATAAATTCAGTTTTAAACACATATAGGTTATCCTTAGTTATACTTTAGTTGCAGTTAGTAATGCAGTAAATAAGCAAAGGCAGTTTGTCTTGGTGTTTGTGATATTCTAAATTTCGACACGAGGGTTTTCATTTTTACTGCAAATGTATATCAGCTCCAACTATTGTTGATCATCCTCCTTGATTTCTAATAATTGGTGTTGTCCTTGGAAAAGAATAACAGTGTCAACCCCTGGTGCATGTTTTTAGAATTGTTGTAATAGACAAAAGCAGGCTAAGAACTGGAAACCAAATGCTGACTTTACTTTTTCTTCCCAGACTCTAACTCAACACCATCAATAGAAGTGATTTTCCTGAACTTTTATTCTCTGCATCCATACTGTATCTAGAATATATAACTAACGGTCATGCCTTATGAATCTTAGGTCAGAATGCACAGTTTTATAGTTGCATCCTCAGTTTCAAACATATATTTCAGGTCTTTTACTGAGTCTCACTGTGCTCTGTATTCTCTCCTTATAGATATTGACAGGATGTCCCATATCGAGCGCCCGGACCGGGGCAATCGGCAGGGCCAGCGGCGTAGAAACCACCGCTGGAGTGGACCCGATCGCTTTAGCAACGATAGCAGGTAAGTCAGGCTTGAAAGTTTACAAATGTTGCCAAAGAGTAGACCGGACAAAGTAAAAACACAATAAAGCTAACATTATTCTGTGTTTCCTAATCCTCTGTAACTGTTTGTCTGTCTGGCTAATTGTTTCCTTCTCAGGGCCTTCCAGCACTATGATGGTCTCAAAGCCTCGAGGATGTCTTCACGGCCTGTCTCATCTGAAGGCAGGCAGCATGGCTACATGCCCATGCTGGATGAACTCACCCTCGAGCACATGACTCAGGACTGCAGCATACTCAAGAACCAGCTGCTCAGGCTCAAAACGTTGCTACAGGTGAGACCCGCATTTGCAGGGAGATGTGAATTAACCTACATGTATATGCTACCAATACATGCGCATATTTACACAGTCACATATTTGTTTAGTATGCTTTATCCAGCAACAGAAACCTCAGGTAGCGACGTCTAAATATATATTCTGTTGTCCTTTTAATGCTGTTACACTGTGAATATGTCAGGCATTAATAACATGCAGATCATGTCTCCACTCTCAGGCTTTTATTTTGGGTCTTATAAAATAGGCCACGTACTGTTTACTGTCAGGATCTGGGGTTTGATTTCAGCCGCTGTTTGGATACTTAATACAGCTTTGTATTTGTTTGCTAAAGGGTTAGTTGGAATAATCTTTTTAGGTTTGCCAGGAGTACACTGTATCACTGCACTCAGGTGTTCAGCATGAGCAGCATGAAAAGTATGTCCTGAAAAAAAACTGAGCTGAGTTTTTAAATGTCTGAGTACATTGGTTTAATCATTGTGCTGCTGCACTGTAGGTAGACAATGTATAAATAAGAAAAATGGAACAAGAGTAATAGTAAGAGATAGGGAAAGTCTTTGTTAGTGGGTTTTAATGCACTGGACCAGTCTGACAGCTTTTTTTCCCTATTAGATACTCTGGGCATGTGTGCCATCAGTACATTTGTGGCTGCATGTGCCTATGTGCAGCTGATCGTTTAATAGATCCATCTCTGTCAATGAGAGAAATCCACTTAGAGGGAAGGTGACGAGGAACTGGGAAGTTGAAAAAAAGAAATGAAAGATACCGGCTATAGAAACGTGCACTTACATACGAGAACACATAAAGCTGCACTCTACAAAAAGACAACCCAATCTAGGCAATCGCAGAAATGCAGCGGCACAAGCACTTTACACTGCATACTTCGTAAAGTGAAATGATCTTGAATGTCTTGACTGAATTTAGCCTCTACAGCATAAAAAGTTATATTTGCATTTGCATTTAAATCAAATATCTCCTTCAGATGCGTTCGGCGTGCTCGCTGCAATTAGTCAAACACTTTGGCTGTATGGCCTCAAGATGGAAAGCGTTTCTTTTGGCCCATTAGTAACTCTATTCTTAATTGTGTGTTTTTTTCTTTTGGTACAATGTTGAACTCAACGCAGCGACTATAAAATGAGCCTCTAGCCTTGCTGAATTCCAATTGATCTTTGCCTCATTGTGCTAAAACTCAGACATCAAGCACAAGCCTGTTTACACCTGCAGATTCTAACTGGATTACTTTAATGAGGATAAGGTGGAATGTGGTGCTGAAATAATATTTATATCACAGCTACCTGGCTAACAGAATAGTCACAGAAAATTCTCTGCCTCTTTGGAACTCTTGGCCAGATAAAATATGCAATTTCAAGGCATACTTTTGGACTCTGATAACCTGTGCTTGGCATTTATTATTATGACAATGTATTCGCGAATCAAACAGTAACTGGAGAAAAAAATCAAAGAATGTAATTGGAGTGTATACACAAGATTTAGTTAAAAAAAAAAAGAAGTCCCAGGTGCTGCACTTATTTAAGCTGCCACTAAAGTGAAGACATTTTTTAGAGTCAATAAAATTGACTGTTAAAAAAACATACTCTGCCTCTGTTACCTCATGCCGGTGGCTGACAGTTCAGGGTCAGCAGAGTATATGAGCGAAAGAGTAGTATTATTCCACTGTAGTGAAATATTGCTCTTGAGGCATGCCTAAGGCAATTGTCAGTAATTCAGTTCACTATATATTTTGTGTCTCTGTGTGCCCTCTCCTGAGCATGTGTGTGTTTTGTTTGTTTTCAGCTTGAGGATACAGATTCTCCAGCAGATGTTCCTGAGGAGACCGAAGACAATACCAATGCATCACAGGTAAATCTAGTCTACCGCCGTGGTGATTGACTGGATATGCAGCGTATACTGTATGCTGTATATAAATGTATTTTTTCTCCAGCTGCCACCTGAGGTAGTCTCTTACCACTACAGCACCCTGTACATGTTTTCAGGTGGAGGCGCTGATTAAGGAAGTGGAGGTGCTCAGACAGGAGCTGAGGAGTCGAGACAAGACCATTGCTCAGCTCACGCTGCAGTGTCAACAGCTGCAACAACAACATCAGCGGGAACAAATGGTGAGTTTGTGAGAACAGAACTGATACAAGTGAAAAAGTGGAGCATATAGCGTATGGGGAAAATATGCTTACAGTTTCACCATTCAATTACAGGAAGACATTGCTTCCATGTCTTGTATTTGGAACAGAAATTACAGTAGACACTTGATCTTTCTATTAGAGAATAGCACATGAAATATTTCTGCCTTTGTTGTTGTAAAGGTGTTATGAACAGCATTCAAGTATAAATTTGCCTTATCGCTCTGAACCCGTGAGCAGTTCTGGAGGCATTCTTTGTTCTTGTCACATTTTTACTGATTGGCTCATTTTTTACTGTAACATAAAGTCTGCACCTCTGTGGAAACAACACAAACATGAATAGAGGAGAAAGAACTCAAAAGTTTTGTCGCCATAAATCATAAATAAGCAAAAGTTGAATTTCAGAGGTTGTTTATTTTACAGATATTTTTTCAAAACTGGTTTCAAGATGTGCACATTTTTTTCCAAGTTCCACCAGATGTTGTGTAAAAGAAATGGTGCCTGTCAATTGTATAGATATTTTACTCCTTATATTTTTAATTGGTTTATATACTTCTGTCCAGTCTGCTCTGTGTAAACACGGCCTGCAGTTCAGCCGAAAAGTTCCTGAGTAGTTGGCGTTTAACTGTTGCTCACAGTTGAGTCAGTAACGCCTTTATAGCTGCACCAGGGGCTCAGAATATTTTACTTTTTGGAGCATCTGGATGAAGTAAACCGAAATTTTTTTTTTTTTTTAGAATGAAGTGATTTTGATGCAATATTTAAGCTTAGATTTGGTAAAATGTTCCCAATAGAACAGCATTACAAACATGAGTAGTTCAAGGACCATCAGAAAGTTCAGAATCTGATGATTGCCTCTGAGGAATTCGGATTTTTTTTGCCTTTCAAACCAGCTGTCAGGGTTTGGGCTTCAGAGGAGGAAAACAAACAATACCTTCTATCCTTTAGTCTGTGACTTGGATAAAAATACAAAAACATGTAAATAGTGATAAAACTTAGGAAGAGGAAGTTTTTCTCTTCTAGGACATGTGTTTGTTGTTGAATATACAGAGCAGACAGAAAGAAAAACTGCCAGATTGTAATGTGAGGGAACAGAATGACAATATTAGATTAAATGCAAACGTATATGAAGAATGTCAGCAGACAAATTGCTTTGGACTTCATTTTACCTTGTCAGAAAGCTTTGTCGCTTGTATAAAGAAAGGTGCTCAAGAATATGGAAAGTGGGCGCCTCTTTATGATAAGATAAAAACATAGTAAACATTCTACATGGACTATCAATGAACGAGTCTCAGACTGTGCATACATATTCACACACTGTGAATGTCTGACTGTGCAACACGTAGAATATAAATAATGTAGCAGCATTAGAAAAGCCGAGCTACGGTAGCTCCGACGCTTGCTCATTGCTTTCATGTAGCTTTTATGTGCTGCAAACATGTAGCTTCTCTTCTGATAGTTCACCTCCGTGACACCAATTCTCTTCACCGATGTGAGATAAGCATGTCTGGGCACTGCTACTGCCTTCCATTATCTTTTGTTTACACCAATTTTAGGTTTATCAGATCCTACAAAGGGGAAACCATGAACAGACAGAGATTGGTTGATAAAAACGTGCAAGGCCAGTGATATACTATGTATAAACCCACAGCTCAGCTCTCGAGGGGTCACAGAAGACATTAAAGACATACTGTAATACTCTTCATTGTAGGTGGGAGTTTGGTTTCCGCCAGGTATGTTACTGGACTCCTACATGCACTCCAGTGTGTTCCTCCTGCTTACCAACAACTTCCATTCTGTTCGCCTTTAGCTGGCCATCTCCACTCTAACATTCATTAGTGTCTTGACAAGGCTTCCTTGTTAGCCAAACAACCATATGCCCAGCTGACATTATTCAAATCTCCGCCATATCGAGAAATACCAAAATGTCAAAGCGAGGCCTGTCCGCCAGCCTTGCTGCCACATACTCTCCTTCCAATTAGAATTAGCACCCACCCACAACAAGTTCCACAGTTAGCACAATATTGTTGCACTCTTACCCTCAACAAGCAAAGAGAGTAAGGAAAAGCCAGGCCGTGTTTTCAGATCTGTGGCTGGCTTTAATGAGTGTAGACTCTGAGAGAGTGAAAATGTTGGCCGTAGTAGAAAAAAAAAAAAAGGATAAGAGGGAAACAGGGGTATTTACTCTGTTGATTCTGTGCTGAAGCGTTTTGTTTGCACTCAAAGTTAGTGGAATTCAAAAGATGTATTTGTACTCTTGCTCTGATGTCCTACCAGTACAGCACTGAACAAAAATACAGCCAAAAACAAACACCTGCTTTGATTTCTGGTTTTGAATAAATAACAATTAGAACAAACTTGGTTCAGCTTCTGTGAATATTCTTGGTCATCGGGTTCATATTATATCTACAATTAGACAGTCAGAGGCTACTGAACCTGCTGTTTGTCCTTGGAATTGGTTGAGAGATAATATTAAAGTTGGTAAAGAGTCAGGTAAACAGAGGGAGGTGAAGTGTTAGAGAGAAACTGCTGAGAGACATAAGTGGAGGAACAGCTGACTGAATTGAACATAATGGAGTAATGAGAAAACAATAGGGGAGCTGTGTGTCTATGGGAGAAGGTCTACTGCAGTATAGCGCAGTGTGTGTGTGTGTGTGTGTGGATGAGAGTGTGTGTGTGGAGGGCTACGAGGAGAGAATGGGACAGAAAATGAAAATGATGGGAGAGACAAAAGTGGAGTTATCAAAGATAGAAAACTGATTTCTCAGTCCTACTTGATAGAGAGCAGCTTTGGATGCTGCTTCCACCGCTGCCGAAGCAGACTGCTCCTGATTATGCACTCGTCTCTTTTGAGCTGCATTGAAGTTTGCACCAAAGCCTGAAAAATCCAGCAATTTCTGTCGGATTCTGCCGTAGTCTTCGCAGACAAGCACAAGTCTCTCCGCTATTTATTTGCAAATCAGAGGGAAAATGTGGGATTTGACGTTAAATTGTTACACAAAAAAAAAAAAAAAAAGATTACACAATGATGTAGTGGTCATGATTAGTTGCTCTGANCACAATGATGTAGTGCTCATGATTAGTTGCTCTGACATTCTGTTTCATTAATGGATTGAGTTAATTGTTTGAGTTTTAAAGGAAAGGTCAGTACAAGTGGTTCGTCAGCGAAACTTTTGACTGATGACAGGTTGCTAATGAAAAGTAGTATTTTGCGAGCATGTGCTAATATCAAATGTCAACGAGTTTAATTTACTACATTTACCATATAAAGGTAATTGTAGCCGTTTTCAGTCCCATCAGTTCTAATCTACCCTGTGTGCTAATCGTTTGCCTTTTTTTTCACATTCGTAGAAGTGGGGCCTAATATTTCATTTCTACGCCTTAGAAATACGAAAAAGATTCCAAAGATTTTTTAAATTAACTTAAAAGCAAGACGGTATCACTCATTTTGCGATATTTTTAGTTTTTTTTATTACCTGTGAGTGGTGATACCAAATGCTCGATATTAATCCCGACAAAAAAATCCTTACACAGCCTACTTTGCTTCATTACTTTCTTCATGCTCTAAAGATGGCCTTAAGAAAGTTTCAAACCATTTAGTATTTAGAAAGGTGAACTGAGGTGGGTGTAATTGCGCGGTGGGTTCACTCGGCAAAGAGACATGCTTTCAGTACCTTTGGGCCTTTTTTTTTTACATTTTCCTTGATTTGATTTGATTGCTGTACAAAGTGGCAAGCTTTTAAAGAGTATGATAGCAGAAATAAGAAAAGGGCTGACCCAGGTTTAAAATAAAATCAATGATATAGCTTCCAGTTATTGTGTTGTGAGCCTAATGTGCTTTCTTTTCCTTCTTGCCCCCTCCCCTCCCTCCCTCAGCCTGCTCAGGGACGTCAGGTGAGGTGTCAGTGCCACCACCAGAGGGCTCCCTCTTCTCTACGACAGAGCGACAGGCAGATGGACAGACGGATGCAGCACCACTATGACAAGGCCACTCAGACGTACTGGAGACCACCAAACCAAGCTGTGAGTCAGCTGCAACTGTTTTTCCATAATTAGATTTTTAAAAAATCTTAACAAACTGTATAAAAGCACTTCCCTGGTGCAGTAATGGTCATCATACTTGGAAGATTCACATTGGGATGCACTCGTGACTGTCTGCATGTATGCAGCATGTTGCTGACTCACCCTCATTAATTCCCCTCGCCAGTTATCACTTCTCCGCTGCCTCTCTCTGGTAAAACATAATTTGCAAACATTTTTTATTAATTCTCCCACTGATAGCAGTATAGGTTTGTCTGTTTTGTTCAAATCTGCAGCCCAGCCTCCCAGTCATTCACAAGCGTGGACACCCTAGAGGGTTAAATCACTATACCGTGTCCTCTCCGTGGAGTTACAGTTTATTAGGTTGTCAGTGTGCTTGTCACACCGTCTTCCACTCCTAATACCCAGATCTCACTGAACAGGGAGCTGTGAGGCTGGTGTTAATGCCGGAGTGATGGAGAAGGGGAGAAAGATTTATTGGAGGAAAGAAGAAGACAGAGACAGAGAGAGAGAGAGGGAGAGGGAGAAAGGTGGAAGATGGATAGATGTGTGTTCAATATGTTCAGTGTCATGGCACACGAGTAGGCTGTGTGGCAGCCAAGTATTGATTCAATAGTAGGAGTGCCACAGGCAGGCTGCCTAGTAAACACTCCCCTAATTGACTTGCTCTCAGTTAAAAGGGTGACACACACACTCTCTCACACACACACAAAAAGGCAGACATAAGCAGTATAAGGACATTGTATAGAGAGAGAGAGAAAAGGGAGATTCCAAGTCATATCTTTAATTGTAGCACAAATAAGGCACAAGCAGTATCATGGTTATCATTAGGGGTCAGACACAGCTTTCATACGCAGACTACAGGTGAAAAATAAAGGACGAACCCAGCTTACTAACTACAGTAGATTCCTGCTTGCCACAAGAGCATATGCTTCAACAGTTGCTATGACAACCATCAAAGCAGGGCTAGCTGCACTCGATGGGAATCAACTCCATAGTGGGAACATCTATCTGTGACCCGTACTACCTGGTGCATAATGACGCACTAAAACACAAAACACAGTTGGACAGTTTTTTTTTTTTTTTTTTTTCTGCCTGTATCTCTTTTCTTTCCGCTCCCGTTTTTAGATATTTCTTTGTTTGACACCGTCCTCCATTTTTGTTTTCTTCCTTTAATCTACATTACAGTGTCGTCACCGGAGTGGAGAGCATTTCCTGCCTTTTTTTTTCTTTTCGCAGCGTTGTGGAGATAAACACATTATGTTAGTGACATTTTACTTTTCAGAGCTTTCGATCGCTCTTAAAGGTTAGCTGAGTTCTTTTGTTGCGTTTTTTTTGTGACAGGTAAAAGAAAAGAGTAAACAAATAACAGAGAGAAAGCGATGTTTCCTGCAATGTCTTTCTTACTTTTAGATGCTATCAAAGCTCTTGGTATCGCGGCGACGGGTTTAGAACCTGCAGCAAGCTTGGGTTCAGTAAGAATGTGCCTCGCTTTTTTAGCTCGTCTGTTTTTCACATAGTTTTCCGTGTGCTGCTTCTTTGTGTGTGGCTGTTCTCTTTCACCATTTTTTTTTTTTTTCTTTTACACAAATAATATTTTCCATCTCCCCACTCACAGATTCATCGAGTTTGGCTGTCTTTATTTCACTGTTCAGTGCTCCTCCTCTAACACACACATGCACACACAAATTCATAATCTGGTGTCATCTTTATTGTTTTTTTTTTTTTTCTTTTTTCCTCCAGCTCTCTGAAATGCCCTTTTCTGTTGATTTTCTTCTCCTCTGACATTTAAAGTGCTGCTGTATCAGAGCACTGGAGTAGCTCTTGCCCTCTCTGGAGTAGCTGTATTTTTGAACGCTACGCTGAAAGAACCAGTCAGGATTAATTTTGATGTCAAAGGCCAATAGCTATAATCTTTTTATAGCTTTAATGTGGATATATAGTTGCCTTATCAGTGGTCCTGAGGGTAAAATGTACACCCCGATAGCAGGAGGTCTGGAGTCCTTTGCTAAGTCCTGCCAACATCGTGGTCGTGGACCTCTGAGAATCCTCACTGTGCTTTGAACTCAGATTAAGAGTGTAGCAAAAGAGGAAGCTCACGGCCTATGACCCTCAAACAGAGCAATGCATGAGCGATTACTCTTCAGCTCATTATTCTAGCAGCGTCTTTAAACAGTTAATACTTTCCACTTGCAGAAGCTATTCATTCCCATTATGTTTTCTTAGGAGCCAAAACGATGTGGGCTGTTGCTCCGAAGGCTGCTTTAACCCATCTCCTCACTCGTCTCCCAACTATTTCAGAATCTGTAGGGCGTCTTTGGCAGCGTATCCTAACCAACTGCTTTGGGCACCAGCTCCTGCAGCTTCTCATTTTAATCTGCTTTCAGTCCAATTTTGAGTCCAAAAGCATGCTTAGGAAAAAAAATAAAGTGTCACAATATGAAGTGGGTATAGGTGCGTCGGTGTACAATGTGCAGACAAATATTGAACACGCTCGTCGCAGCGAGACGCACGTGTAGTGTGACATTAGAAACTACTTAAATGTCACTTGTAGAAGAATAATCTTTGCAAATATCTCCCGGAGCAATCACAGCGGCAGAAATGTTTTCTCTGCCTCGTCTTCCTGTTGCAACAAATAAAACATGAGCAGTATGATTTTAGTAATTTCAGCGGTACAATAGAAAGCCACACAGCCTCGTGTTTGCCTTTGTGTTTCTGTTCTTTGTGCACGAGTTGGAGAGAGACCCCGATTGCCTACATTTGTTTGTGTGTGTGCACGAGTGGGATATGCCACATGTATCTCTTGTACTCAAGTGCGGGGCACACTCAGTGTGACTGAACAATGAGTTCAGCCGACTGAGGGCTGGGGAGCCGACCTTGTTAATAACCCAGATAAACAAACACATAGATGAGCAGCAGCAGTGAAACAATGGCAACACAATAGGCAGTGTTTCATCAGTGGCAGACAGAGAGGATAATTACAGCTACCCTCCTACTCCCTTTCTGCCTCTTTAACATCCTCTTCTTCATCTTTTCTTCTCACGCTGCCCTTCATGTCTTTTTTTTTTTATCGCCCCTGCCCTCTCACTCCATTATTTTCTTGCCTCACTGATAGCTTTCTTTCCCTGTATTTATGCCTCCGTCACTCTTTCTTTGACATTACTACTCTTCTCGACTTCTTACCTCGGCTTTAATTAGATCATTTTGCTGTCAGAGAGAGAGCGAGGACGGAGAGGAGGGTTAGCGATCAGTGTTGAGCCGGAGGTTGAAAGTTTTTCCCCTCTCGGATCGTGACGTTACCTCCACCCCCCGTCTGCCCCCTTGCATCACAGACACATCCTCACAAATGCACGCTCATTAATACAAACTGGTATAGCAGAGTCATCTTGGACAGGTGAGGATTTAATTGCCGAAGTCAGCCAAGCGAAACATCGCGGCCAGACCTGTGGAATTAGCTATAGCTGCTATGTAAAGCTCCGTGTACTGGATTAGGGGATCCAAGCAGAGAGGGAGAGAGGCCGTTTCAGGGGCACAGCCATGTCTTCTAAAATTCTGTTGTTGTTTGATGAAAAGGTTGTAGGATCACAAAGAACAACTTTTACTTGACTTTTAAAATCTTGTCCTACTTTGCCGAGTTCTACCATCTGCTTTGGGGACTCTGCACAGAAGAAGTAGATTAGCAAATCCTGAGAGTGCATTTCAGTCAGAGAGGGGCCTCTAGTGAACGTACTACTACCAACAATACTGAAATGGCAGTTGAGGAGAATAATACTTCACATGCCCAAAGATTCTGTTAAAAAGGATTTATTATCGCTCTGCCTTGTGCCGTAGCATGACGTCATTTTTTTTACATCCTGAACAAGCTCCTACATCGTACATTTACAAAATGGAAAACAACCAGGAAAAGCGTTTCCTGTTCTTGGGTTCTTTTCAGCACCTATGTGATGCTGGTCTCTTCTGAATGGTACATTTTTGGAGTTAACAGTCAAAAAAGTAGAATTTAAGCTTAACTGACGCCAACCAAGAGAGGCATGAATGTGATAATGTAGTTTTTTCTGTCCGAAATGAGTTTGAGACTGCTTGAAATGTGGCTTTTAAACACATGTAGTGAATTTTAAGGACATATTTAACTGGATGCTACCTCTAAAGGGGTTAAATATGTATTGTTTTCTTTTTTCCAACTTTGAACTGCTAAATTCCAATCCTTGTCACTGCGAGCTCAACTGTTGTTCCCAAACAAACATGTGCTTCCTTCACAACCTTGTGAGCTTTAACGAAAGGTTGTAATGTGTTTGTTGTTGAGGTTGAACCCCCCACAGCAGGGGCCACAGTTCACCCCCTGCTGTCAGCACCCGACCAGCCAGGAGGAGTCACGAGTGCAGCAACAAGAAAGGGGACCTTTGCTTTTGCTTTCGATTCACGAGCAGTTTTGTTTGATGAAAAAAAGTCCGCCAGAAGTATTGTCATCGAACCCAGGGTCTCTGTGCTGGTGGGAGAGAAATGAAAGAAGTTTTGATGAAATTGATGGATGGAATATATAAACTATAACTTTTATATTTTCCCAATTTCTGTCTCACTGCCCCCGTGAAGCTCTGTCAGCCTTTCATTGGAGAGGCTTTACAACGATGAAAAATGTAAAAAAAAAAAAGAAAAAAAAACCTGACAATCTGAGCTGCTGCTGAGTTCTAATAAAGCTGCCAGACACTGTTAGAATCGTTTGAGAGTCCTCCAACATACCCTCTTGTTCTCATCGCCTAAGGTTTTCCGCTCTGCAAATGAAGCTTCGACAGGAGGCCTCTGCCGAGACCTCCCGCTGAAACAGTTGTTGGTGTTCAAGGAAGGACATGGTCGAGAGCAGATCAGGGAAACTCATTCCTCCCTCCTTCAGTGGTCGCACTAGGAGGCCTCTGAAATAGCCTCTCCTGGACCCGCTGAGAAGTTGCAACCTTTCCCTTTTTGTCTTCCATCTCTCACTCTCTGCA